TGGCTACTGCTGCTGCTGCTGCTGCTTCTGCTGCTACTGCTGCTATTGCTACTTTTGCTGCTGCTGCTGCTGCTGCTGCTGCATTGCTCTCGATTTGTTTGTGATGCACCCAGCAGCATGCACATCCCGCTGGCGTTTTCCAAGCTGCGTAAGGAAGAAGGGCACGTGCTGTTTTCGCTGCTGCTGCTGCTGCTGACGCTGCTGTCCTTATTGCTGCTGCTGCTGCTGCTGCTGCTGCTGCTGCTCCCGTCCCAGCTCAGAGACCTCACGCTCCTATAGAGGCCCCTGCCGACGCTGAGAAGGGCACGGTAGGCAAGCAGCGAGCGTTGGGTCTTTGGCGGGACGCAGGAGTTTGTGCTGCTGCTGCTGCTGCTGCTGCTGCTGCTGCTGCTCATCGTGCTGCTGCAGCCTCTGCTGTTGCAGCTTCTATCATGCCTATCTGCAACACAGATTGCTGTGCTGCTGCTGCTAGCAAGTGTGCTGCTGCTGCTGTTCAGGGGCAGAGGCCCGCTGTCTCCGCCTACCCGGTACACTCCCGCACTAGTGAGATTCTTCTCCTCCTGTTGCTGCTGCTGTTGCTGCTGCTGCTGCTGCTGCTGCTGCTGCTGCTGTCTAGCGAACAGCTCGTGCGACAGCTGAGCAGCCCTCCAGGAGAGCAGCGCCCCGTCAGCCACCAAACCATGCTGAGTCAACGCCAGGTCTCTTTCTTCTTGCAGCAGCTGCTTCAGCATCTGCTGCTGCAGTTGCTGCTGCTGCTGCTGCTGCTGCTGCTGCTTGTGGGGTTTTTTGCTGCTAAACAGAGACAGCTGCAGCGCAGGGCAAAGCAACCACACGGCAACAGGAGACAGCTAGCTGCCAGCTCCAGCACAGGAGACAGCTAGCCATCGCAGCACGAGCCAGCTAGCTGCCAGCAGCAGGAATAGAAGCAGCTAGCTGCCAGCAGCAGGAGACAGCTAGCTGCGAGGAACATGAGAGGGGACAGCTAGCTGCACGAGCTAGCTGCAGCTTCTGCAGCCACCCCAGCACAGCCCCCAGCAGCAACAACTACAGCAGCACACAGGAGACAGGCACGAGAGGAGACAAGCAGGCCACTAACCCAGACCGAAGAAACAGCAGCAGCAGCAGCAGCAGAAGCAGCAGCAGCAGCAGAGACAGCAGCAGCAGCAGCAGCAGAAGCAGCAGCAGCAGAAGAAGCAGCAGCAGCAGCAGAGACAGCAGCAGCAGCAGCAGCAGCAGCATAGAAGCAGCTGTCGCCTAATACCTTTGTTAGCAGTGGCTGGCGCGGTGTGGGGTTTGTCTTAGCAGCAGCAAGCGGTGGGGTGTCTCCGCTGTCTCCTTCTGCTGCTCTCTTTGCCTCTGAGGAGACACTCGTGCTCCCCTTGCCATCTGCTGTTGCTGCTGTTGCTGCTGTTGCTGCTGCTGCTGCTGCTGCTGCTGCTGCTGCTGTTGGCGTTTGTGTCCCTGATGCAGCACACGTATCGCCCGCGCTGGTGTGGAATCTCTGCAGGCCTTTCTTCCAGTGTTGCTTCTGCTGCTGCTGCTGCTGCTGCGGTTGCTGCTGCTGCTGCTGCGGCTCCTGCTGCTGTTGCCGTTGCTGCGGTCGCTGCTGTTGCTGCTGCTGCTGCTGTTGCTGCTGCTGCTCTGCCTCATCTCCTGAGCTGCTGCCTGAGTCATAGAAGGGCTCCAGTGTCTCTCCCCGCC